TTTTTTTTTTTTTTTTTTTTTTTTTTTTGGTACCAGGGATCGAACTCAGGTCCTTGCACTTGCAAGGAAGGTGCTGGAACCACTGAGCTAAATGCCCGACCCTGTATCTGGTTTTTTGAGACAGGGTCTCTACTATATAGTCCAGGCTAGTCTTGAACTCCTGGTGACCCTCCTGCCTCAGCCTCCTAAATACTGGGATTACAGACCTGTGCCACCACACCTGGCTAGTATTTGTCTAATACAACCCAGCTAACAACACATCTCTTGAATCGCCATACCTTAGCTTCTGGAATGACATTAATTTTGTTTTTGTTCAACACGGTCATACCCTTTCTTCCCCAGAGTAGAAAGGATCTTCTTTTTCCTTTCAAACTTCCTGAAAGGCCTAACAGATGGCATTGTACATGTAACAGCTGCTTGTATAGGAGCCACAGGCTCAAGGTAGACAGATATGCTGAACGACAACTGAGTTATTTTTCCTTTGTCCTTTCTATGCTGACTACATTAACTTAAATAAATGCTGTGGACAATGATGGTGATTTCATCACTGCTACCCACTAAGAGGCTTGTTAGCCCTGTTGCCACCCAATCAGGCTGTAATTGGAAGAATCCTTGATTTAACTTTTTAGATTTTTATTTTGTGAGATAGGGTCTTGCTGTGTAGCCCAGTCTGGCCTCAAACTTGTGGCAATCCTCCTGCCTCAGCCTCCTGAGCACTGGAATTACAGCTTGCACCACCATGCCCCGCAACTTTTTATATTTTAGAAAATGTCTAGCTAAAATAATGAGCAAGGGGCCAGGGATGTAGCTCAGTGGCACTGTGCCTGCCTCACAAGTGCAAGGTCTTTAGTTCAATCCCCAGTACCAAAAAACAGAACTATAAAATACTGAGCAGGAATAGACACTTGAAGCTCTGACGAATCTGTTGCCCTGGTTGCCTAGCTTAATAGTATGGGAATGGAGACCAAATGGCAATTTTAAGTAGAATCATAGATAGCCAAACTTTTTTTGGTACACTACGATTCTCAAGACTACAGTTTAAAATTAGGGACCAAGACAGTCGTGGTGGTGCACACCTGTAATCTCAGCACTCTAGGAGGCTGAAGTAGGATTGCTGAGTTCGAGGCTACATAGCAGGATCTTGTCTCAAAAAACCCAAAAATATAGTTCACTGGAAAGAAAAATGTGTGATTTCTTTTTTGTAAGAATCCCTTTGATTTGTGTCTTGTACTCTTAACTACTTTTATTTATTTTTTAATAAAATACAATAGATTTGAAGATAGGGAAGGAGGAGGAGAGAGATGGCAGACAGCTACTCTGGACAAATAGCGAGAATTCAAAAGTGAACTGTTCCCAGGGAGCAGTGGATTTAGCTTAGTTGCACCAAGCCTGCCTGGCAAGAGCAAGGTCCTAAATTCGATCCCCGGTGGGGGGGGTGGCAGAAAAAAGCCTACTTGGTCTATTTGCCCAGGCATGATGGCACATACATGTAATCCCAGCACCTGCGAGGCTGAGGCAGGAGGATTGCCAAGAGTTCGAAGACAGCCTGGGCTCCATACACAGTGAGTTCAAGTCCAGCTTAAACTACATTATCTCAAAAACAAAAACAACAAAAATCAAACTACTTATAAACTACTTTGATATACAATGTAACAATTACTAGGGGCTGGGGATTTAGCTCATGATTCCACTGCTTGCTTCCCAAGTGCAAGGACCTGAATTCGATCCCTGATACCAAAAACAAACAAATAAACAAACAAAACAATTACTGTTACTTTTACGAAATTATTTTTTAAAATTAATTTTTAAAAATAGGCTGGGTGTGGTGGCGCACACCTGTAATCCCAGCACTTGGGAGGCTGAGGCAGGAGGATCGCTATGAGCTCAAGACCAGCCTGAGCTACGAGTTCCAGGTTAGTTTCAAAAAAAAAAAAAGTCAAGGATGTGTAGCTCAGTGGCATAGCACTTGCCTGGGAAGTGCGAGGCCTTGAGTTTGATTCCCAGTACAGAGAAAAAAACAAAAAAAAATTGAAACCAGGGAACCCATAAATACTGGGGAGAAAAATATAAAAACACAGATACTAACCAAAGCTCTTCAACTAATTTTGCCACTTTGCAAACAATTTCTTTTTTATTTTCGGTACCTGGGATAGAACTCAGCACCTTGTGCTTGCCAGGCAGGTGTGGTGCCGCTGAGCTACATCCCCAGTCCAGTAATTTATTTCTATAACTCAGCATCTTTAACTGCAAAGTAAGGAAGTTGAGCGCTGTATTAAAATGAAATAAATATTGCATTAACTTGTGTCCCCAGGATACACAGCTGTAGGATTTGTGCTCATCTACACGGAAGTACTGACCTTTTTCATGTTTTCTTGCAGGTACACAACAGACCCTTTGGAGGCGGAGTACCTTTAACACACACTCGTACCACTGGCTCAGTGTCTAGCATGCTGCTCAGAAAGGCAGGTATAATCCCCGGCCATGTCAGGAGAGAGCAAGTCAGAACACCCAAGTAGTTGAAAAATTTATTTGCAAAGCTTCTAATTAAGGAGAAAAAGAATGAGTCAGATACTGAGAGCAAGATTCTTTCTCCAGTGTAGAAAGCGCTGCCTACCCACAGTATGAGAGGGATTTCTCTGGAGTATGTTCATCTTCCTTGAAGCATAATCATCTGAGAAGCCCATCACCTTTGGAGATACACCCTGGCCAACTCTCCTAACCAAAGCTGGGCAGAAATGGGCAAGGAGTTCCGCCCTACTGAGACTATTCGGTGGAGGAGAGGGAGGGGGCCCGTTCTTCCTTTGGTGATCTCCCTTTGTACATTACATTCGTGTGCACCCCATCTCCCCACCCGAGGGAATGAACCCAGGGCCTTGTCTCTACCACTGGGCTGCAGCCCCAGCCCTCAGCAGCAGCTTCTAACTGCGCTCAGTGGCAGGCAGGCTTTCAGGGACGCAGGCGGGGGCACGGTGAATAAAGCTACTCTGCCTCCTGCTGGCCACAAGCAGACAGGTTTCTTTCTGGCTTCCCACAATGAGGTCACATTTCTCCTTCACACACATGGGAACTTGAGGAGAAAAGGAAAACTGGAAAGGAAAATGAAGAATGGGCTTCATTTTTGCGGGGCCTGGACTAAGCTTTAGGGGACAACAAACCACTTAGATCACACACCTTTGATCTTGCATTTCGTGGGCTACAACCTAAAGTTGATGCATCTCCTGCATTAGCTACAGAAATAAAGGGACTGGCAGGGCCACAGGAAAGCCTGGTCCAAGCGCCCCCATTCCTGCTCCCTCTCTGCAGCGGGGAGGGGAAATGCGGAGCCTGGTACATCCCACGCTGAAGAAGGCCCCGGTGTTCCTCAGCAACTCTGGGCCCCATACCAGCTTCTCCTCTAAATGAGTCTTCAGTATTTGTGCCCCACTCCCGAGCCCCAATAAAACACACCAACTGCTTCAGAGTATTTCTGGGTTGGGTTTTTTTCATGGGTCTTTTTTGTTTTTTATTTCAAATACTGAAAAAGTCCCTGGGCTCTGTGGGGCTCCCCACGCTGGTGGTTCCTCCCCCACACTGCTGCCCTTTCCCGTAACAGATCTATTTAAAGGACAGGACTTTTTATGGACAATTAACAATGCTTCTCAGCTTGCTCTGCAGTCAGAGGAGCTGTTTGCATCTGTTGTATGTAGATCAACAGCTACTTTTATCTGACACCTGGTCTTCAGCCACAACCACACCAGGCATTACCTGAATTAGAATCCCTTAGTAGTCTACTCTGCTTCCTCCCCTTCCACTGACCCCACACCAACCACTGGATTAAGAAGGAAGAAAGTCAAGGATGGTTTTATCATATCTAAGTCCTAATTCTTATTCACCCAAATCTCCCATCCCACCCTCTCAACCCCACCCCTGGGATTTCACTGAGATTTCTCTCGACAGTTTTTGGAAAAAAAGGTAAAACAAAAAAGGTTCAAGGTCTTGGTGCTCAGCCCAAGGGGCTCCATGCGCTGGGACACCAACGGGCAGGGGCTTCTGCCTCTCCAGCCCGCACCCAAGCCACCTCCTGACCCCTGGCTGCAAAAGCAGGGAGGGGCAGGAGCCGGCACAGGACCCAGGGTGGGCAGCGGCTCAGGATCTGGCGGAGCCCCGGGCAGCATCATTCAACTTGGCCACTGTGGACGAACACAGAAGAAGAAAAAAACAAAAAAACAAAAAACACTGTCAAGTAATAGGGGAAAAACCTTGAAATCCATCCCAGTCTCTGCCCAATGATTTCTCTACACTTAATCATCAGCTACCTGACATATGCCTCAATCTTATCCATAAGGAATAAAAGAAAAAAAAAGAAAGAAAGAAAATGTGTCTTTTGCTATCCATAGAGGTTTTGGGCTTTTTTTGGAGATACTCACAGAAAACACACACAGAACAGACACTGGAGGTTTCTGAGTAAGGTACCTGGCTGAGAGCAGGCCCGGTGTGAGAGCCAGAGCCAGTGCCAGAGCCACTCAGAGCAGGGACGCTGAGGCGGCTCAGTGATGGGTGGTAACGGTGTGGAGGCCTGGGCCACACACAATGCTAGGCGGCTTTAATAATCTGGGTCTAATCAAAGCAACTTTCAAATCACTCTTCCTTGCTAAGGAAGCCATGTACTCTAGGCTGGAAAGAGTTGGCAAATATGGAATGTAGCCTGTTTGCTCAGCCTTGAAGATGGGGAGGGAGGGAGGGGAGACAGTGCTTAATGGTTACAGAATTTAGTAACACAACCTTGTATATCTGCTAATGCCACTACACTGTATGCTTAAAACAGATTAAAATAACAAACTTAATAAAAAATTCCTTCTATTACTTCCTGAAAACCAGACTCACTGTGAACATCAGCCTTGAGGACTCAAACTGACCAAGAGAAGGCAGCTCAGACAGAAAAGAAAAAAAGTACAGAATTCGAGCAGATCGGAGATGAAGAAAACGTACAAAATTATATATATATTTATATATATAATAACATGACATATCTATGTACAACATGGCTGGAGAGCTGAGGAAACCATACAATGATGTCCGGCGTTTCCCCCTTCCCACATGGACTTTGGATAAAGGATGACAGCATGAGGGAATGGAGCAAGAAACACGAAAATTATATACAGTTACAGGTGACAGTCAGGGAGTCTGGGGAGGGAGTCCGGGATCCTGCTCTCTCCATTCCTTCCTCACCAACCTTTTCCTATCCAATCTGAGCAGCCCGAAAGCTGAAGCTAGGAGGCGTACAGACCTCAAGGCCCCAGACACAGCCGCGAGTCCACTGGTCATTCTCAACGGGCCAGGGGCTGGCAGTCGGAATCTGTGAGGCGAAAGGGCAGGGGACTGCAGAATGCTGCTCTCTTTAACAGCTCGTTCTCACCCTGGCCCTCCTTGTCCCGACTAGCGGGAAGCATTCTGTAGGACTCAGGCCAACTTCCAGTAACGAGATGGACGATGCCAGGCGCAAGCCCCTCCTCCCACCTGTGTGCGACGCAGCACTGCGACCTGGTGCTGCGACCTGACCGTATCACGAGCGAGGGTACAGATTCTAGGAAGGCAGGTTTCTCTGTCTTTCGGCTTCCAGCATTTTCCCGCTCCCTCCACGGGGTCATCCCCTAAGAACCTGCTCCCCCACCCCTGCAGCAGCACTCAACTCTCTAGGGTTGGGAGCTCAGTTTGTCCCTTCTCTCTCTCTCTCCCTAGCAGCACTCCTGGCGTTTGATTACATCAGGAGCACGGTCACCACAAGGACATGACCGAGCACGTTTCTAAGCAGCTTTTTGGCAGCTAAGTCCCAGACCGAGGCCAGGAAAGTGGGCAGGGTCAGAGACAAGCTTCGTGAGTTTCTTTTGGTACTCGGGACCAAGTTGGGGGTGCTCTACCACTGAGCTGCATCCCCAGCCCTTTTCATTTTTTATTTTGGGACAGGGTCTCACTAAGCTCCCGGGTGGGCTTGCACTGGTGCTCCCTGTCCTGGCCTACCTCACCGCTGGGGTTATAGGCGCGTGCCACGGCGCCTGGCTCCATGGCTCGCTTCTTAATAATTTTTTCTTTCTTTTTTGGTACTGGGGATCAAACTCAGGACCTTGCATTTGCAAGGCAAGCGGTGGAATCCCTGGCCCAATAATTTCTTCTTAAGTTCGGGACTGATACCTAGGAGGCTCTGCTGCCTGAATTTATAGCCCTCGAATCACACACGTCCTCCTTCCCCCTGTAGACTTCAAGTGGTTCCCTCTGGAGCACTTCCCCAGTACTGCAGAGCCAGGGCTTACTCATGGGCTTTCTTCACTTTCAGTTTTACAGTTTTTCTGCCAGCAAGTGTAGAATTTTAGAGTCAGAATCAATCTTGTACATACTTAACTCCATGTTAAAGATGAGGAAACAGAAATCCAGAGAGGCTAGATGAGTTGCCTGAGGTTATTCACTGGTACTACCAAGACCACGTGAACTAGACACCAACTACGCTGACTCCTAAGCCAGTGCTCCTTTCTACTATCCCACAAAACATTCAAAAGCAATATACTGGAAGAGAGAGAGAAGGTGCCCATTTTCATGAATAATGCTCACCAATCTTTACATAATTTGAGAGCCAGGGCAAACGGTACGTTCTACTAAATAAAGGAGGTTAAGTGGGCACTACAGTTTTAGGCAAGCAAATCAGTTTTCCCTTTTGAGGATTCTTTCAACCTGCCATCATGGAAACATGAAGCAATAGAAGCCTAAGGGACAAAACATTTAGAAGCACAGAAAACATGTCTCATTCAGCCTACCTTTCCCAACTATGTCAGGTTAGTCTTGGGATGTTAAAACTGCCACCTATTCCCAAGGCTCAGCCTAAGCAATTCTGTGGTACACTCTTCCAAAGGAGAAAGCGTATCTCCCCAGTTTCACGAAAGAAAATGAGTCTGCAGCACTTTGCATTCCTAGTCTTTCCTATTTCCAGGCCCCTACCTGGGCTACAGTGAGCGTGTGAAGTCTCAATTTAACCAAAGAAACGAATTCAGAGCCCCCTTTAGCCCATATTACCTTCTCAGCAGCCCCCAGCAGAATCAGTCTTTCCTGGCTGGCAAGCTGAGACCTGACTAGGGGCCCATGCCATCCCTGCCTACGACATAGGAAAGTCCAGTGGGTGAGGAAGGGGAGCGGAGGAGGGCCCAGGTTACCCCGCAAGCTTGCTGGTGACGAGTGAGGACTTTCTCTGGGGCAGGTCCTGTGGGGTGGGGATGTGATCACCAGTCACCAGGTTCTTGTCTGGTCCTGCACTTGGCAGCTGCTTATTCTTCATCTTGGCTTTGGCCATGTTGTAGTCTCCTGAGTCAAAGTACTTTTGCTAAGAGATAAAGAGGGAAGCTGAGGTGAGTAAGGAGCTCTGGCCTTCCTCAAAAGCAAGCAGACTCACATTTATTGCAAACCCTCAAATACACTCAGATCTTTCAAGTAAGTCTTATACATATGTAGTTTAGTATTGATTTGACAAGTTTATGTCTTCTCTCCCATACGTTCTGACTTTCAGGTATATAAGTCGTTTTCCAGAAAGAATATACCATTTTACAGTCAAAGGACAGGCTCTATAACCTTTGTACCTCACTCAGTACAGGACAGTTCAACCACAATTACTTACTTCGTTCTGAAAGGCTAACCGAGGACATTACTAGGGGCAAAAGCAATAGCTTGGCACTAGAAGAACAGAAATCAATATATTTAAAATGGTCAATCCAGGGCTATCTAGCAAACAACAGGAGTTCCATCTCAAGCCAACAACTTCAAAATTAAAAAATTCTTTCAGACCAGGAATAGAAACTGGGCTTGTTCATGAGGATAATGTGCTTTCCCTGACTCCCACCACCCCCACACATGTTCCATGGCTGTGGCAGCCCTGCCCACGCTGGCCTTGCCTATGGCGAGGCAAACTGAAAATCAGCACATTATCATCGGTGAGTAAGACTCAGTGACTGGGATTCTCCACAGGAATCTGTCTCACTCTCCATTTCATCCACAAAGTGCACACTCCAGTCTAAGGTCTTACAGTCTCTCAGTTGGTTTAAGGGAGGGACCTCTGGAGACTGAGGAACCTGATCAGGAGCTAGATGGATAAAGATTTATCTTCACTGCTGAAGAAGACCACTCTGGACAGGAAAAGTAAGTCTCTGAGCATAGCTCATGGCTGGTGCTGATTTCAAGGGTCTGAAGAAATCTATTTATTTCAAGTTAAGGATTTCTGTAGGAAAGATGGCCTGATTTTTTTCCTGAAACAACACATCCCCAAATTTATCTCTAATACCTAAAAAAAAACCCCAAATCACAGTCCTAAAATCTTGCCATTCAAACAGGAAAATGCTGGGGGGACTCTGCCTTTCCAAACTCTAATACCAATCCCCTTTTCTACCATGCACCCAAATGCCCCTACATTATACCTTAATTTCCTATATGGGCTATCAGAAAGGAACTGATTCTATACCAAGGATTTATAATGACTTTACTCTTTACCAGTTTTTAATTCCTCTTGATTAGTTTCCAACAATAAAATCTCCAGGAAATCAAACAGATGACTCTTGACAGAATTAAGTACCCCCTGTTCCAAAGTAAGAGGATAAGAGACTGTGTTCCATTCATACCCCTTTCTGGAGTCTTTTCATGAGGAAGTCAGAGCCTCCAGGCTTTTGTCCTAGGCTTGGATATTTGGCCTTTAGCTTTGCCTCCTCAGCTCTCTCAGGAAGAATACCTTCTTTTTCCTGCGTGTCCTGAAGGAAACAAAGGAGCCAAATTAAACACTGAGAAACAACCACTTCTAATATCTGATACTCCTTATACTATCAACTTTTCCTGGAGATCCACCCACTTTTCAACATGCTTTCTCTGCCCGGTGTAGTGGCGCATGCCTGTAATCCCAGCACTTGGGAGGCTGAAGCAGGAGGATCCCCATGAATTCAAAGCCAGCCTGGACTACATAGAGAGAGCTTGCCTCAAAAACACAAACCATATGGTACAATTAAATTAAAATTCTTGCCGGGCGTGGTGGTGCACACCTGTAATCCCAGCACTTGGGAGGCTGAGGCAGGAGGATTGCTGTGAGTTCGAGACCAGCCTGGGCTACATAGTGAGTTCCAGGTCAGTCTCAACTACATAGTGAGACCCTGTCTCAAAAAAACAAAACAAACAAACAAACAAAAAAACTCTTGAGGGTTAGCATGTTGTATATATTGAAAACAAAACAAAACACCCCAAAACTCAAACAAAAAACAAATCCCCCTAAAACAAAAAACACGCTATCTCTATTTTTCAAGCCTGTAAAGCTCAAGACTACTGTATAATGAGAAGAAAAAGACAAGTTGCTTTGTACACTACACTCAAGAAACTACCCCAGTGATCTATGAGTACTTGGTTAAAGTTACTACCTAAACAGAATACCTGAATCCTAGAGGGGGCTACAGACAAGAGGAAAGGAAGAGAAAAAAGGAGCTAGCCAGGGCTTCTAGTAGTGATACAAGATTGGTAGGAGGGCTCTCTAAGGCTGTCTTACAGTCAAATGGAAAATGAAAGGGGATAAATCTTCTGACACATTCCCTCTTTATTCAGAGTCTAAGCTGTCTGGCCATTTTCTCCATGGAGGAAGCAAGCATGTGAATTTCTTCAAAGTGCTCTGAGTAATGGTACAGCGCTGCTTCCACCTTACAGATATTGTGGTAGAAAGGTGACAGCTAAAGATTAAAACAACACCGTTTTTCACCTCGGAGAAATTAAGAAATGGGCTTCATTAGTATTTATCCATAGTTTTCTCTCTCTCACACACACACACACACACACACACACACGCACACACACACAAAATCAATGCCTACCCTAGTGGGGCAAGTGATGGAAGTCTGGGGAAATAGTAAGAGTTCAAATGCCTTGCAGGGGCTCTCACTGTTCACTCGGCTGTTTTTGTGTTTTTTAAATTAAAGAACCTGAAGTCAATGATGACTCTTGTCAGATTTTTCTTTGATAATCACGTACAGATTTAATGCTATGTGTATTTCAAGAGTCTCTGAGCCCAGCACTAAATGTTTCAAATCAAATATAAACCCAAGAAGGGGTTTATTTGGCGTTAACGTTTTCATCACAGAATCGCGGGTGGACTAAATCCCAAGTCTAGGAGAAGAGGGTGGTGTCTTTCTCGTTACGTCTCTGCCAGCGTCTTTTCTAGGATTCCCCTCCATTATTATATTTGGAATTCTGGTCCACTTCATCCTGGTTCGGTCCTCACTGAAGGTGAAAGACGACCCCACCTACCAAAATCAGTCTCTTGAGAAAGTTAAATTAGCCGTGGTAATACTCTTCTCCCCCGCCCCCATGCCTGGTCCTTTTTAAACGTATTTACCTCGATCTGTACCTCCTTGCGGTCTAAGTTTGCGGGCCCCAGCTTGGCTATTGGGTCACTTCCCTCTACTAAACAGAAAAACACCTCAAAACCCAAGACCACCAACCCCCTTTCATTCACCTGGTCTTTCCAAACACCCGCCCACGCCCAAGCTCAGCCAATTATAGCATAGCTTCCTCGGTTTGAGCGCTAGCCTTCTTGGCCAATCAAGAAGGGTATACCACTGACTGACAATCGACAGAACCAACCAGCGCCAAAGCTGCGGGCCCTGTTGAAACTCACCCTGCGTGACGCAAGAAGTAGCCAACCCCTGCAGAGACTGAGACCATGGCGACCAATCCGCACTGGTAAGAGACAGTCTCCCGCCTCAGCACGGTCGCCCCCGGCTCGCCCGCCCGCACCCCCAATATTTCACCTGCTTCTCCTCGCCGGTCTCCTCCGCAGGGTTCTCGTCTTCTTGCTTCTGGGACATGGCGGGACCGGGACTATGGAGTGTAGGGGGCCCGGGAAGTCAACCGGAGACGGGAAGGGGAGGGGGAACGGGGACAACCTGAGCTGCTGCTTCGGCTCCTGTCACTATGGTTGCTCAGTCAAAATGGCGGCCCTCGCTCATGACGTTGATGCCGCCCCTTTCTGTGAAAACCAATGAGAAAGGGATAGATGGGGCAATGACGTAACGAACAACCAATAGGAACTAAGGAAAGGTGGGTTTTACGGAGGAGACGGGCAAGTAGGAACACCAACTAGGAAAGAGTGAGCTACAAGGACCGATTAGAAGGCCGCAGAAGATCTTGGAGGCGGGGCTGCTAGGCTTGACATTTTTTTTGCTTCTGGGGGGGAACTCAGAATTCCTTCACCTCCATTGCCCAGTTCTCAGGGAACTGCAGAACGTCAAAGTGGAGAGCCACATGATGCAAATCGTTTATTCTGCGTGGAAAGGATTAAGCTTTGTACAGTGTTAACAGGAAATTATCGATCTCCAGAAATAAAACTTTTAGGCCAAAGTGGACTTGAAAGTGGTATTCAACAGTTTTCCGATGTGTCATTCATTTAGTCTGTGGAATGGAGATACTACTGAGTCCCAACTTCAATCGTCTTGCAAGAAAACTATGGTTTACGCCTCACAATTTAATACATTGTATGTTTTTTTATTCAGGGTCATCCCATGAGGACCAACAGCACAAGTACATTAAACATTTAGCAAATAGTTAATAGTAATGACCTTATCCAGAATCATAGTTCAACAATATTTCATTTTTTTCTTTTTCTCTTTTGATACTGGGGTTGACCCCAGGACCTTTGCGCTGAGCTACATCCTCAGTCCTTTTAAAATATTTTGCGACAAGGTCTTGCTAAGTTGCCCAGACTGGACTTCAGTTTAGGATTCTCTTTTCTCAGTCTCCCAGACTCTTTTTTTCTCTCCAGACTCAAGTGAGTGCTCTGGCCTCAGTGCATGCACCACCACACCTGGCTTCAATGATATTTCTTGAACATCTGTCTGTCAGTGGTGCAGCTTACAGTCCAGTGAAAGTGTGGAGAGAAAGGGCTTTCAGGTGTGTGATCCGAAATCCTCAAGGTTCAATGGACACAGGGCCAGGGATTTAGCTCAGTGGTGCTGCTGCCCGTCTTGCAAGTGCAAAGTCCTATGTTAGATCCCTGGTACCCCCCAAAACATTAAATGGACACATCTTCCTGGAATGCTGGTTTAAAAGCATAACATAAAATGTACAGTGCATGCCTGTAATCCCAGCACTTGGGAGGCTGAGGCAGGAAAATAGCCAGGAGTTCCAGGCCAGCCTGGGCTACAACATAGTGAGTTCAAGGCCAGCCTGAAGAACATAGCAAGACCTAGTTTCAAAAAAACAAAACAAAGAAAGCACATATTTGGGCCAGGGATTTAGTTTAGTGGTACCATGCCTGCCTGACAAGTGCAAGGTCTTGAGTTCGATTGCTGGTATGGAGAAAAAAAAGTCTTTAAATAATACAAAAAGATCTTTTTGTTTGTTTGTACCGGGTATCAAACTCAGGACCTTGTGCTTGTGAAGCAGGCAGCAGAAAAACAGAACAACAAAACAAAAATAGGTGGATCTACAATTTATATCATTAGTATCTGATGGGTCAGACTGCGAAATATTAAGAGAAATTAACCACTCTGTGTTGTTCTTGTCTCCTTTATCCAAGTATACTTAGGACTGGCCTCAAGTGTTGCCTAAGGAAAATAACCAAGTTGTTAGAATACTATTGTAGAGATAAATTTCAAGACAGGTAAAATCATAATTCACACAAATAAGAGAACTGTTAATATGTTAAAGTCCTCAAAAAGAGAATCTGAAGACAGATGCATATATACGCAGCTAGCAATTCTGACAGATGTTTGCCATCTCTTTCACAGGGTGGAATCAGTTGTATTTCATTTCACAAAATTCACTTGTCACCACACATAAGCATAATTTGCATTGTCATGAACTTTTTTTTTTTTTTTGGTACCAGGGATCGAACTCAGGACCTGGTACTTGTGCAGCAGGAGGTGGAACCACTGAGCTACATCCCCGGCTCCGTCATTAACTTTCTTTACTTACAATGTTGTAAATTAACTGGGTATGGTGGGTCATAGCTGTAATCTCAGTACTCTGAGAAACTGAGGTGGGAAGATTCCAGATTTGAACCCAGCCCGAACATTTAGAAATTGTTCAGAAACCCCCATAAAAGCTGAGGATGACCAAAATATTTTTGTCCATTTCAAAATCTTTTACAAAATGTTCTTCTGTGAATATAAAAGCCTCTAAATATCTTACTTCTGACTTCCACTGCACTGAAGATTCTGGTTAAAATGCAAGTATAGTTTGTAGTGGTAACCCTGCCTGTAATCTAGCTATCTGAGAGGCTAAAGTGGGAGAATAAAAATTCAAGCCAGTTTGGGCAATTTAGTGAGACCCTGTCACACACAGAAAGAAAAGAAGAGAACAGAGGGGGAGAGGAGAGGAGAGGAGAGACGGGAAAAGAGGGCTGGGGCTGCAGTTCAGCAGTTCCCGGCTTCAAGCCCCATCCCGAGATAGGTGTGGTAGGACGCACACCTGTAGTCCCAGCCTCCAGAGGCTGGGGTAGGAGGATCAACACCAGTTCCAGCCCAGTTTGGGCTACGTAACTCAAGGCCAGCCTGAACTACATGGTGAGGCCCTGTCTCAAAAATTGACAACAAAAATGTTGTGTTTTTTGGGGGAGGCAGGGATTTAGCCCGGTGGTTCTGCCGCCTGCCTCGCAAGCACAAGGTCCCAAGTTTGATCCCCGTACCAAACAAAAGTGTATTTTTCTGTACTGGGGTTGGAGATTTTGTTTTTGTTTTGTTTTGTTTTGTTTAAGATAGGGCGTCACTATGTAATTCAGGCTGGCCTGAAATGCACAGCAATCCTCCTGCTTCAGCCTCCCGGTGCTGGGATTATAGGTGTGTGCCATCATACCCAGTTCTAAAGTTTTAAAACATTCAAATATATACACCAAGAATATCAGATCAACATTACCGTAATTAAAATTACCTGGATGGAGTAAACAGATCAGCTTTAATAGCTGTGCTATGAAATAATGGCCCAGAGAAGGACCTAGAGAAATCACAGAAAGAAAAATCTACTTAACATCTACCATGTGTCAGCCGCCGTAACATTGGTTTATTTTGTCTTCAGACTGGGCTTCAACTTGTGACCCTCCTGCCTCAGCCTGCCAGAGTACTGGTGTTACAGGCCGGCGCCACCATGGCTGGCTAAGCTAAGAAATTTCTAATTCCAAACTTTGCTTAAGAGTATTGTGTGAAGAGCTGCTTAGCATGTACAGGTCCGTAGGGCTAGGAGTCCAACTCCACACACACACAAGGAAATTATTTAAATTACATATTTACTCTTGACATTTAAATCACTCATGGGGTATTAGATTTAGGAAGGGTAGAACTTAGAATAAAAAGAACACCAGGTTTCACAAAAACTAGCAGCGTCAGGGCACAAATTATTCTGTTTGTGACTAGGTGATTAGATAGAGTAATTAGGAAAGACCCGAGATAGTTGATCATTTGTTTGTTTTGTGTTGTTTGGTACCAGGGATCAACTCTAGTCCTTGTGTTTACAAGGCAGGCAGCAGAAACACTCAGCTAAATCCCCAGCCCTGTTTGTTTTGTTTTTTTGAGACAGGGTCTTTCTATGTAGTCCAGGCTGGCCTTGAACTCACTAGATAGCCCAGATAGGCCTCAAACAGAGGCAATCCTCCTGCCCCTGCCTCTGCTGGGATCACAGGCGTGCACCACCATGCCTGGCAAACCTGGGATACATGAACAGAGACCTGAGTAGGGTGCGAATCAGTCACCTGGAGGAAAAGTGGTGTAGCAGAGGAAACAGTAAATGCAACCCTCCTGAGGCAGAAGCACGCATTTAGTGTACAGTCACCCCCTATCTGCCAAGGGTATCTTCTAAGATCGATGCCTGAAACTGGAGCTAGTACCAAACCGTGCATATATACTTCCTGTACATACGCAGGATAAAATGTATGTTGGGACACCTGTAATCCAGCACTCGGGAGGCTAGGCAGGAGGATCACAGTAAATTCAAGGCCAGCCTGGGCTATGCAGTGAGTTCAAGACCAGTTTAAAATACATAGTGAGACCCTGTCTAAAAATCCAAAAAAGAGGCTGGGCGTGGTGGTACACACCTGTAATCCCAGCACTTGGGAGGCTGAGGCAGGAGGATCACTGTGAGTTCGAGAACAGCCTGGGCTACATAGTGAGTTCCAGGTCAGTCTCAACTACAGAGAGAGACCCTGTCTCACTCCCCCAATCCAAAAAAGAAAAAAAAAAGTAATTTATAAATGAGGTACAGTAAGAGATTAACAACAAGTAGTATTAAAAGAGAATAATATAGGGCTGGGGATTTAGCTCAGTGGTTCTGCCACCTGCCTCACAAGCACAAGGTCCTGAGTTCAATCCCCGGTACTGAAAGAAAGAGAGAGAATAATATAATAATATAGTATAATAAAAATCATTTAAAACATACAAATTATAACTGGAATTTTTCCTTTTAGTATTTTTGGCTTGGGTCTCACACACAAATATCCCAGCTACTTAAGACGCTAGGTGGGAAGATTGCTTGAGCCCAGGAGTTTGAAGCCAGCCTGCACAACCGAGCAAAACTTCCCCTTAAAAGAAAACAGGGGGCAGGGGATTCTGGACTTCAGGTAACACGGACAGTAAAACCACAGAGAAGGGGTATGTACAACATTTGAGAAGTTCGATGAATGTAGCTAGAGCCACAGAAAGAGAGAAATAGGCAAAGATGAGATCGGCTTGGCTTTTTAAGGATTGAGGAGGACAGTGACGCAGATGGTTTAGGTATTAAACCAACCACTCTGGCGGCTGTGTGCAGGAAAGAGTGACGGTAGCCTCAGGAAACCAATTAGGCTTTTACAATAGTTCAGAAAAGAGGGGAGAGTGATCCTCCTGCCTCAGCCTCCCAAGTGCTGAGATTATAGGCATGTGCCACCATGCCTGTAAGAATGAATGAATGAATTTTTGGTTTTATGAGACAGGGCCTCACTATGGAGCCCAGGCTGGCCTGGGATCTGCCTCAGTATGCCCAAGCCTCCTGAGGGCTGGGATT